TGAAGTGATCAAAACACAAAGGGTTAAAAGGTAGGAACCAATTCACTTCTTTTCTATAAAATATAAAATTGTAAATATTTAAATTGTTATGGATTGGAATATGGTTAAGTTTTTTATGATCATAATGTGGGGGAATTGAGTTAAGAAGATAGTAGCTCACTGATGTAAACCCATCAATGTTTGAGTGCAATTTAGTCTCCTAATGAAGATAAAACATAAAATTGTAAAAATTTTACAAAATTACTACTTTACCCTTCAACCTTTAAGAGCTTAGTAGTGAACTAGGGTTGATTTAAAATCATTCAATGAGGCTTATAAAAGGAACAGAAGTAATCATGAACATTATTGAAACACTACAAGCTCAAAATTAATTAAAAAGAAGTGGGATGGTTCCTTAATAACCAAGTTTGCCCTAAGGGTTCTTACTCTTATAATTCATCAACATCATAATGAATGACTAGTTAGCCCTACTCATGGGTTAAGTTATACCTCAATGTTCACTGAACACACGTTAACACACCATAATTAAAAGTTAACTTAATTAAGATTGATTAATCCAATGACATAATAAGCTTAGATGAACTTGAAATGATTTTAAAACTTCTAAAGTGGTTTAGGATTATGCACATAACCCCTTTTTAGGATTCTAAACATTTTGAAGGACATCTGACCCTATTATAATTCCTTGAAGGCAATCATCCGCAAAATCTTATAAGGAACCACCAAGATATGCTTCAAGACCCGTTAACTTACTAAATCTTAATAAAATACCTTACCCTACTTATCCTACATTTAAACCCAATGCTCAAGGGTTTCAATTTTGAATAAGGTATCCAAATCCTTGTGAGCAAATGGGTATATTTGTTTTTTTCACATATGAATCATCAGGCTAGTGTGAGCCAGAGGTCTTGATGGCGAGGACAGTGATGACATCGCTTATGTGTGCTAAACGAGGGATACAAAGTGGGATTTGGGATAATACCTTCTACCTAGGATCCTTCAGGAAAATGGGTAAAATCGATGATATTATTCACCAGACCTCAGTAGGAGTTGCCCCTAGATCTTATAGGTTGCTGATACTCCCAGCTTGATTAGAGCGATTAGCTTATTGGCTATAGTGTTTTACAAAGCATATATAACACCGTGAACCTAATTTTTTTTTTTACAACATGATTACTTTTGAATGATAAGTATATCTATTTGCATGATAAGCTAAAGGAATTTTTTGATGAAATCTTATAAAGGTCAATGGACTAATCACTTAGATTGAGGTTAGAAGTTACCCTTCCTCGGATTGCTAGGTTGGCGGCTCTTACCGGTGTTGGATAGAAAATCACATAGCCTAGCTCTGAGCCCCCACCTTAACTAATGTCTTACATTTAGCCTCGGACTTTCATATGTGACATCGAGCTTTGTTTTACTCGCTCTTATTTTTCTTCAATGACTTGTTTTGGATTTCTTCATGTCATATTCTCCTTGCAATGTGTTTAAAATTCCTGCACTTTATTATATAAAATTTATGCTACTAACCCATGCAGCTGTACCAGGAGCCCCAGGTACACACCCCATGATTTATTTACTGCACTTGTATTACTTTACCTTACAACGTTTTCTTACTCATGCATGCTTTGTTTTACTTGTAAAACAAAACAACAAAAATATACTTTCAAAAGTAATAATACACCTTTCTAACTTTTTGAACGCTCTTAACTTACTCATTTTGAGTTTATGAGGAACCCTCGGATGATGTAACCTGTGGTTGCTAATGAGCTTTCTCCGATCTAAATGAGTTTAACCACTTGTTTAGGCTAAGTAAACTCAAGAAAAAATAGTGGTGCCGGGACGACGACACCTTGAGATCTAGACCGACGCCACTTAACTTAAATTAAAATCCCCTTAAGTATTTGAACAACAATGACAAATAAAACCAAAACATAAAGCATAAATGATCATAATTCATAACACACATAATTCTTGAAGCTGCTACTTCAATGAGGAGCATTAGAGCAAGCCACGATAGACGATGATGATCTACAACAGTAAAATAAGTCTATATCAGCTAAACCATTCCCTAGAATTAAAAAAGCCATAGGACTTCGAGGTAGTCGCTGGTGCTACAAAAACCTTAACTCTATATTTTAGGCTTTTGTACATTGTGCAACATAAGCTCTAAATTGCCTTAAGATTCCGAGGTCGTCGTCCGATACAATGTAAATTATACAATCTTTCAGACCATTTGCATAATTGAATGTTATACAAGTATAAGCCCAATAATTAATAATTGTCAGGATTGAACATAAATAATTCCACTTCAAGAATATAAAGCCCTATAATAGGATAACATGGGAAGTCACTGAAGTTCAACTCTGTCCCGTGACTTACCCTATTCTTCATTCCTTTGATTTCTAAAATAAATGTTCTTACTTGAGCTTTTCCCACTTGTCATTCCTTATAAACTATCTTGAAAACCTAAACTTTGAACATCTTGAAGACAAAGCCTTTGATCTTTATCAAGAGTTTTCTTAAGTGACTTCGGTCATTCAAGATGTAATTAACTATAAGAGCTTTCTCTTATAGGAAACTTTAGAACCCATGTAATATAAACCCTGCCTAATTTTTCTATATTAGATAGAGGAACCAATTGGTCGTACACAATGTTTGCAGACCAGACAAATGTCATACATTTCTTTAGTTTATATAATTGAGCTCACTGTCAAATAGTATATCTATCTCTCGAAATGGTGTATTACTGTTAGTGTTGTGCTCGGTCATTTAAACTATTAAAATGTATGAAACTTTGTTAGTCTCATTTTACTTTTCAAATCAAAATACTATTTTTCTAAATCAAAATTATATATATATATAATCACAAATTATTTTAAACAATTATATATTTTTGTCTTTTAAACATAAAAAAGCGACCAATAGGTTCCTTCTCTTGTCTCCTTATGTTCACCTTTGGTGTTACAAAATACTTAAACAATATTGCTTTAATAAGGTATTCTATCAAGCTCCCTAAGTTTCTTCATTCTCTTGTATCATAGTTGCAGTCTATGTGATAAACATAAGTTTCCAAATTAAAATGTTCTTTTTATGAATTTCTTCTACTAACTAGGTCATAAAATCCATCAATATAGTTACTACCAATGCATGTGAATTGAAGGTGGCTATCCTGTCTACTCGGCGATAAACTTACCTATGTTCAAAATAACACATTGTTCTCTATTCCCCATGCTTGAAGTGCTCGACATTGAGTTGTTCTTTTCAACAAAAAAAATGATTGTTGGCCAGCTTTAATAACCCATACAAGTGTAATTGGACGTTGCAACCCAAGATTATAACATAATGAACCTTTACTGAAGCCCAATGTACGTGTTGCGTGAGATACAATAGGTTATAGATCATTCACCTTCAACATCTCCTTTTGAAAGCACTTCACAAAACTTGGCAACAATTTTCCAGGCTCCAGATACATTTGCAGTAATAATGGCCAGCTCTTTTGAGGCTATGCACTACAAAATTTTGAAATAAGTTTTTCTATTAATTTATAAAAGGAAGTTAGTAATATGAGTGGCAAATTATTGAACCAATGAAGGGAGACTCATAACTATACACAAATACTATAAAAAGCTCTATCATTAATTGCTATACAAACATAACAAAGTATATATTACTGAATAATTGTAGGAGCTAGACGTGTAAATTGATCACTTGTCCATTTAATTATCCACTCGACGCAGGTTGATTTGATGAAGTTGAGTTAGCTTGTAAAATTATTTGCTAAGTGATTTTGACAAATTGATTGGCCGAACTATCCTGTCAAACTAATGACGAACAAATTTATCAGCGGAACTAATTGGCTAAGTTGATCTGCCCATCTGGAATATTAAATCGAACTATCGGGTTGATAGAAGTCTGCTCATTACTTCACTTAAGCTTGTCTTAATGGAATTCTATTATATACCAGACGTGCGATATATATTTAAGAAAATAATTTGCTTTCTAATTTAATCATAATATTTGGATATAATTCTTAGCATAAAATGTTGAAATTTCTAAAATGGAAACATACAAATTAAAATTGAAAAATTCTAGAGTTCTATTTTTTGAACAAAAAATTTCAATAGTTTTTAAAGTCTACATTTATTTATCCTAATACAAATTACATAATATCACTATATATATACATATATATAT